AGAGAGAGAGAGAGAGAGAGAGAGAGAGAGAGAGAGAGAGAGAGAGAACAGGAAGAGTGGTCTGTTTGCAGTCCAGAGAACCAAAGAGGCCAGAGCACCATATCTAAGCATCAAAGAGTTACAGGATAAAACAAAGGAACAGCTCAGATTTCCAGATTTCCAGTTAAATATGTCAGTGCTTTTAAATTACATGTTTTTACCTTACCCAGCATCACTGTCATGGACCCACCTTCTCATATTCATGAGAGAAAGCCATTTTCCTTGAGTTCAGGAACTGCCAACATCAGTTCTAAAGCTATCTAAGGCCTGCTTGGTGTTCTGTGCACCATAGGACCTTCAGCACCATTCCGGTCTAAATGCTACTTGTGTTCACCTTCCCCAAGAGTTGAAATACCCAAAGGTGTCTACAGAGTTTCCGGAGAATCCCCTGTGCAGGGTCTGGGGGAGGAAATGGAGCAATGGGAGGAAGGTGTCGAAACTGTGGTGGAAACCACCACATTATCTATACTATTTTGAATAATTGTTTCAAAGTAATAATTACTGGATATCATCGAATTCATAATGTTTTCTTTGAGAGGAGATCGCTCTGTGTATCTCTGGCTATCCTGGACCTCAGTCTGTAGACCAGACTGGTCTTGAACTCACAGAGATCCACCTACCTCTGCCTCCTGAATGCTGGGATTAAATGTGTGTGCCACCACACTCTGCAAAACTAAGTAATACTGTTTAACAAAACTAGCATGATATAAGTTTCTTATTTCTCTAATATGTGACACACCTTAAATAGTTAAGACCATAATCTAGCAACACACACACAAATATTATTTTTGGCCCATTTCAGGTATATTGCAATCTGATAAGTTAAATGTGATTAATAATATTTCTGTTTAATATGCTGATTCCTGTAAGATCAGCAAGCAGAGAAAAAATTGTACCAATTGAATATATACATACAAAATAAATTTCTAGCAAAGTTAAATTTCACATATTCTCTTCTATACTGGTTATAGAATTTATATGTAAGTAATAAAACACCACTTCTATTGGATGGAAGAAATGATCATAAAAATATTTTACATTTATTCAAAAAGTAAAACCAGTGAGTTTTACATCATTGTTAATAAAGAAGTCACTAGTATCACGGAGACTGCCTGTTTTGGTGTAACATTGGTTCTTTTCACTTTGCAAATGTCTACCAGATCTTGCTTTTACCTGATTTATCTGTAGAATCTTCAAATTCCACGAGGAAAGAGTACCCATTATTCCAAATGTGGAGGCAGGTGCTGGGGTCATAAGAGATAGTGAGCGGTTTTAAGCCAGGGTCATAAACACTGTCCCTCCATCGGATGTTGATGGGTGACTGTCGATCACCCGCAGGAACAAGGTCCAAGTTCTCCCAGAGTGGAGGTACTAGGAGAGAGAAAAACCAGGCAGTTAGCAAGAACAACCACTATCTAGCACCACATATAAGACCATCTCATTAGGGAAGAAACCAAAGAGGGCAAAGACAGCTCACAGTCTCAGAAACTTGGGGCCTTAATCCACTGCATAAAGCAAATCAGGGCAGGCCAGAGAGCACCTTGCCAGGGCATCTTCATTCGGTCATCTCAGTAAAACCAACCCACCTCAGCCTGTCTGCTAATGTGACCTGAAGCCAGTGTCATCCATTCTGTGGGATCAGCAAAATACATAGGGATTGGAGTGTGGAAATGGTTTTCACAAATGCTGCTCTTTGTCTCGTTGCAGTTTCTTGAACTCCAACTACTGGTTTCAAATACAAAATCAAGTGAACCTTCAATAACACACTTTATCTCAGCAAAGGGAACAAGGTTAGAACTGTTGGAAAGCAAACTTGAATTCAGTGTTGTCAGTTTTCGAGTGGTTGGCTGGTATAGCCTACGTCCTCGAAGGTGACTGCACCATATATGTGTGCGTGCCAGGTTAGCCTCTGTAAAGAACTGTGAGGAGCAAGTAGCCACTCTGTAAGGCCCGGATAGACACCAGCATTGCTGAGGTCCCTCAAGCCCACTGTTTGTCACAAGACCGTGGACATAGTCTTTTAAGGTATATTACATAGTTTGTCCAAAACAGGCACTGACTATATGGCTTGACCTGTTCCTTCCTCCATGGAGCCAAGCCCAGGTCTTTGTAGCAATACATACCAGCAGACTTCCTGATGGTGACACAGGTCGACCTGTTAAGCCACCCAGACATAATGAGCAGAACCCACACCTATTAATTTGGGGTGGTCTGCCTGGTCAAACTGGATGATTGCATGTAAAAGAACACGAACAGATTTACCACCCTGAACAAAACTCAACTCCAAATAAGTCAAAGACGTCAGCATAAAACCAGATACAGCGAGCTCGGTAGAAGAGAAAGCGGGGAATGCCTTGAATGAATTGGCGCAGGGAAAGACTTCTGAACAAAACACCATTAACACGAGCGCTAAGATCAACAAATAATGACTAAATACTACTGTTCTACTGAAAGAACATAGCAGTAAAATGGCTCACAGATTAGTGCCTTGCTCAGTCATTATCAGAGACGCTTCCTCCTGCAGCAGAAAACAAATACAGAGACCTACAGGCAGACAACATGCAGAGAGTAAGAGACCATGGAACATTAATCCCTAAATGAGATGTGTTCATCAAGTCCCTCCCCTCGGGGCTCTGGGAACCCTGTAGAAAAGGAAAGAACCAGAGAGGATGGAGGACACCAAGGAAACAAAGCCCAATGAATCAACATGACTGAAGCTCATATGAACTCAGGGACTGAGGGAGCACGCACAGGGCCTGCACACATTGGCACCAGATGGGGCCCTAGAGCTAAAAGGAAAACTGGGCACGTGTCCCCATTCCTAACCCAGCAGTATCTTCAGTTGATAACCCCTTGCAAAGGAAAATTTCGTTATCTCAAAGTAAGTTTCGCTGGGAAACAAACTACTCTTAAGGGTAGGCTGCCTGCCCAGCAGTACGTGGCCAAAAGAAAGCGAACAGCTGCTTTGGTGGTACCTTGTCTCATAATACTATGACAGGGATTTTTTTTTTTAGCCTTTTCTTTTGTTTTTTTGTTTTTTTTTTTTTTTGAGATAGGATTTCTCTGTGTAGTCCAAACTGTCCTGGAACTCGCTCTATAGGCCAGTCTGGCCTTGAATCTGCCTCTGCCTCCCCAGTGGTAAGATTAAAGGTGTGTACCACTACTGCTCGCCTTATTTTTTATTTTTGTATTTTAAATTTTTTTCTCCCCTTTTGTGCTACAGATCCTTTGTGTATATATTATGGCTTACAGTTGAGTGTTTTTATGGGATTCCTGAGTGTGTGAACAAGTGGATCTCTTCATCTACATCTGTGTCTTGTGTCTTTTCTTGGGTTCTTTTCCTTCTTTTTGTTTTGTCCTATCCCAACATGTCAGTTTTTTAATCTATATATTATATTTATTATACATCATTCCTTAGAAACCTGACTCTTTTCTTAGCCTGCATATGTATACATAGTGAGTTCTAGGACAGTCAAGACTATATAGAGACCCTGACTAAAACATAAAAAGAAAAAAATAATAATAATAGAAAATTGTTTATTTTCTAATGAGAGACAGAAAGGGGGTGGATCTGGATCGAGGGGAGGTAGAGAGGAACTGGGAGGAGTAGAGGGAGGGAAAACAGTAATCAGGATATATTATATTTTAAAAAACTGTTTTTTGTGTTTGATTTTTGTTTTTGTTTTTTTGAGACAGGATTTCTCTGTGTAGTCTTGGCTGTCCTGAAACTCACTCTGTAGAACTCACAGAGATCTGCCTGCCTCTGCTTCCCAAGTCCTGGCATTAAAAGCATGCGCCACCACCACCTGACAAAAAACAATCTTTTTTTTCTCTTTGCTGCAAGCTGCATTGAGTGGGCTAGCCTGGGCTGCATTGAGTGGGCTAGCCTGGGCTGCATTGAGTGGGCTAGCCTGGGCAGTGCTAGAGACCTCATCTGGGTAGTGATGATAAGGGACAGCTGGTGACCTGACCAATCCAGCTACCAGCAAGGCCAGAACCAGGGCTATGTGTTGCCCCACCTCAACATCTGCCTCAGCTATGAACTGTTAGAGCAGGTAAAGGAGATGAACCTACAGATCTAAAACAGCAGGACCTCTATGACGCAGGACGACAACCGGATATCCTAGAGGAGCCCCATTGGGAGCCCACCAACAGTGGCATAGAAGAAGTCAGAATCCTCAAGCCAGACTAATGACTTGTGTCGATGAACACTTGCAAGTAACGATGACTGAACTAGGGGCTGGAGAGGTTGCCCCATGGTTAAGAGCACTGACTGTTCTTCCAGCAGTTCTGCGTTCAATTCCCAGACTCACATCGTGGCTTACAACCATTCATAATGAGATCTGGTGCCTTCTTCTGGCCTGCAAGCATACATGCAGACATAACAAATTTTAAAAAGAGAGATGAATGAACTACAGGATAAACTGTGTGACTCAAGGGCCACACTACAGCTTCCATGACAAGATTCTTCTCTCTCTCTTTTGTTTTGTTACTTTATTTTGTTTGGGTTTTGGTTTTTCTTTTAAATTTGGGTTTGTGGGGGGGGTTGCAAGGGGACAGAGATAAGTGGGATTGGAATGCTTGATGTGAAATCCACAAAGAATCAATAAAAGTTAGAAAAAATAAATTTTGGATAAAAGGAAAAAAATGGAAGCATCAAGAATGGACAGAATCAAGGCCAACAAGAAAAAGAGGAGAAACACGGGGCAACAGAGATGGCTCACTGGTTAAGAGTGCTTGCTACCCTTGCAGAGGATCTGAATTTGGTTTCTAGTACCCACATGGGGGGGTGGCTCAAACACATAAACCCCCAGCTCCAGGGAATCTGACTCCCCCTTCTGGCCTCTTCAGGTTGCTGTATAGTCACATACACATGTATGTATATAAAAATGAAAGTCATAAAAAAGCAGGAGTAACACAGATGGCCAGAAGTTAGCAGCAATGCCCTGCACATCTTGCCCCTTCGCCGACTCTATGGGTTTGGTAAAACAGCTGTGTTGTTAACCAGGAAAATCTCCCATGTAAGTTGGCGTCATCCTCATTCTCCTACTGACACAAAAACAGAATCTTGTCTAGGGTTCACTATTATAGAGAAGGTAATTCACCAAGTCTTATCTTTTGTTTGCTTGATTTTATTTTATCAAGTGTCCTTGCAGATATGGAGTCCTCCTGAGAGTGTTGACCTCCTGACGGTTCTCAACAGGAGGAAGAATTCAGTCCCCTAAGAGACATTTGAGTTTCCAGAAGACACAAGACAAAACTAGCATAGGGTTCTACTGCCCTCTACTGGATAAGGACCAGAGATGCTGCACAGGATGGACAGGCTCTGCAAAGCAAGAATTATCCTACAGGAGGAAATGTCCCTGGTGCCAAAATCGAGAAACCTTCACCTAGAGCCAAAAACTACACACGAACTCAAAGTTTGGTTCACAGCCTAGTCAGTTTCAAAGATTCCTGGCCCAAGGAAACCTATCTTGCACTTCTGACATCCTCAGACTATGGCCGATAACCTGAGAAGTCATAAAGTTAAAAAGCCAACAAGTCCAGCCTGGTCTGCAGAGCAAGTTCCAGGATAGCTGGGGCTTGAAACCAGAGTTCCAGAGAAACTGTGTCTCAGAAAAACAAAACCAAAGCCAAAGTCAAACCAAACCAAACTAAAACCAACAAACAAAGCCTATCAGGTGAGTGTCCTGTGAAGATCATGGAAGAACTGGAATGCTAGTTATCAGGTCCCTAAGATAATGACCTCAGTCACCTTTAATTCAGAAAATGGGAACTATAAATTCTCACATCCACGCAAGCGATCAGCAGCCCAAGAAAACCAGGTTGGGCCTACTCCTTCAACTGCCCTTTACGATTATAATGCTAGACTCAGCTGCTACCTTTTGCTTTACAAGTTCAGCTTCCATCAGACTTCATCTCATCCCATTCCCCTCCCCTTTTACTGATCTAGACCACTGAGAGCGGGAAGTCCTGGTCATTGTCCTCTTAGACAGCTTTTGGTCAAGAGCTTGTTTTCAAAAGATGCACTCATATTTTTCATCCTCCTCTCTCCCTGTCTTTCTCCTTCGAAACTAAAGGCAGATGGGGATAATTTGCTGGTACTTGCTGATTTTTCCCTTGAAATAGGAAGATTATGTTGCATGCTGAGAGGTTTTTATCTTCACATATTTCTTATAGAAAATAAAGCAGCAATGATTGTGTCAAACGCAGCTCAACTTAGTAGAGTCAGATTGTTCATAGGATCTGTAATTACTATGGTGTTAGCTCAGTGTAGAATGTTCATCTCCCAGGCATGATACTGTAGGTTCGATGCCCAGAACCCCCCCTCTGTGTGTGTGTGTGTGTGTGTGTGTGTGTGTGTGTGTGTG